GGCAACACACTGGAAAGTTTGAAGACCTTAGCTTTTTTAGATACGGAGAAAAAAAATGTTAATGCAGAGCGTTATTGCTCAATGTGCCGTATTCGCGATTTTGTTTCTCAAAATAACGACCCTAATTCTCGGTTGTTAATACTTTTTACCAATCCTTCCTATTCCTGATTTGTCAGTAAATATTTCTAGACCCGTAGCCGGAAGAGTTCTTTGGGGGAAGCCGCCCGAAATGTCAACGTCGCGCTATACGCAAAACGCGCACGTGACTGAGAGAGTGCCTACAAACTTTTTTTCGCAAAGGCAAATTGTTTTTTTTTTTTGTTTTTTTTTTTTTGTTTTTTTGCAGAACAAGGATTGTTTTTATTCTTCTTGGCATGGAGCCAGCAAAATATATTTTTTTCATAAAAAATGGTTACCGGACATGGATGTTCGATCTTATCAACGTTTGGGAAAACAAAATGTATTATTTCGTCTACTTCCGAAGGCTGCAGGTCCGCTAGAGGTGCCCTTGCAGCCATTAGCAACTACTCCCAATGGCTTTTGAAGTAATTTCCAGCAGTAGCCTTTATCGTATTTGCTAATACTACGTAGGGTCCCCGAACACTACTGCGCGAATAGTTAGAAAAGTTTATCCACTCGCCAGCTTTGGGATGCTGAATGGATAAATTTTTATTTATCCACACGGCGCCACTGCAGCTATCGATATGTGTAGGCACCAGTGCACACAGACAGGGGCTCCGGAACCGGGGGCGGGGGAGAGGGGGGAGGGGGGCAGTTGCCCCCACAGGCTCTAAACCAGTGGGGGCATGCCCCACACTCGATGCTGTTCCGACCGCAACCCCCCCCCCCCCCTCTTCTCCCCTCCCACTACCCGTGAGTCAGTAGCATGTTGAAGCTGCACTCCATAGGCGACGAGGTGCCACAGGCTAATATACAGGGTGTTTCACGAAAGGTGGACAAATTCGATATTGCGAAAACTACGCGTCGCAACAAAAAAAAAAAAAAAAGAAAGAAAGGCTTGTGTCGTTTTGATTTTAGGCCAGGGGCCTATTTAGGAAAATTATTAAAGTCCGGGATAATTAAGTTGTTAACTATTTTTGCGTAATTGACCTTTTTAATATTGTGTTTAAGGGCGTGGTTTTAATCAGAAAATTGCTCAGCATCATCAAAAAACACTAAATCAGCAAATTGCAGAACCATAGAAGGCACGCGCAGCATTTTACGGCTTTCTGAAAAACCGCACAAATTCGACGGGTTTTTAAGTTTCGGTTTGCTATCGGTGCGCATCTCGGCCCCGGCGGCACCGCGCCCCGTGGAGAAATAGCGAAACCAGCCTTTGGTGATTTTACTATTTCCCGACCCACGAGGGTCGGGAGAGCCGAAGCGCGAGGTGGGGAGACGGTCTGCCCGAGAAGAAAGCCCTACCTGAACGGAGGGACTGCTTCCGAATGTCCCAAGTTCAGGGGGTATATAAACACTATCCCAACTCCCACCGCACAACATTGGGATATTTTTTTTTTACCTCAACGTCCCCCCTTCCCCCTTTTTTTTTTATCTCGACCGCTGACCCCAACTCCCACATAAAAAACACTCCCGGGGTCGCTGCGCCTGGCTATGATAAACATTTGCAGCATTTATTGGGATCCAGCTCACGTGGTTCTGGCTGCTAGTTAAAAGAATAAACGCTGCTCTTTTTCTTTTTCTTTTTTTTTTGCGATTGTTATTTTGTAAAGAAAAGAAGAAAAAACAACTAATGCGTCTATAATAGATGTTGAATCTGAAGGAATAATTCTAAGCGTCCGCTTCGATTGTTCAGTTTCTCGCTCCGTCCGTGTCCAGTCGTGCCACAACGCCTCAGAGTAGAGACACTTTGCATATTGTGGCTTAACATCATGGTTGCCAGTTATCTGAAGCTTTATCTGAAATCACAGGAAACGCTTTTCCGTCCTCCACAGATGTTTAAACAATTCGCGACAAAGCAAAGCAATATTACTTGAGCTTCCTAACACCGACTCTAATGCTGAGGAAGTCGCACTTTTGAATCATGACGATCGGCAGTTGCGTCTGCTCTGCACAAGCACCAAAATGGCGGCGCCCACAGCAATGTCGGGAGAACGGAGTGCCGATACCAGTGACCGATACTCTCAGCTCATTTAGTGGCTCTAGTCGCGCTGTTTCAATAAACCCACCAAAAATTCATCGCAGGGTCCGTCCGTCTAAACAATCGATTTATGCATGCAATCCCTTCGAAGGGCAAAAAGCGCCAACGGGTTCACGCTGCAGATGTAGAGCATCGAACGGAGCGATTACGGAAGACACCCGAAAAAAAAATTTAGTTTTTGTTAGGGATGGCCGCGAACTTTTTTCGAACCGAAGGTTCGATGATCGACTCAAGCGGTTTGAAAGGTTCGAAAGATTTCGAACTTTCGAACTTTCCATATCGAGAAATTTGACGGAAGTCGAATTTTCGAACGAATTAAACTTAAAAGTTCGACACTTTTCGAAATTTCGAACTTATTACGCTGCAAATTCGATGCTTGTCGAACTTTCGACCTTGTTACAAATTCGATGATTTTCGAACCTTCGACCTTCTTGCACAAACAGTTCGAAGCTTTTCGAACCTTCGAATTTCCTACGCAAAGAAAATCGATAATTTTCGAACTTTCGAACTTATTAATTGAAAGAATTCGAAAATTGTCCAACTTTCGATTCCTAAAAAGTCAGAAGTTCGACGAACTTCAAACTTTTAGGTTAAAAGTTCGAAGTTCGTCGAACTTCGAAAGACTGGCAGGCGGTTTCATTTGGATTCAAGCGGTGAGGTACATTCGTTTTTTTTTTTTTTTTTTTTTTTTTTTTTTTTTCGCAAAGGAGGAGCGAGGAAGGACGACGGGTTTTTGACAATTGTCGTTTCTGCCATATTTTTTATGGTAGGGATGTTAAACTTTTTTTAAGAATGATCCATGTATAGCCTAGGTACGTGTCGTCTTAAGATATGATTATTGTTGTTCAAGACGAGTTTCGAAAAAAAATATCCAAACATGTACCTACGGGCAATTATGCCCTAAACTTGGTAATTGTTTTCGTCTAAATTGTTTGAGGTGTCGCATTTAAACTAAAACCACGGACAGTACATATTATTACCATCTGCAGAATACAAAATAATGTACAGTACATATCAATACAATAATGTAAAGTATATAACTTTATAATAATGTAAAGTACATATCATTACCAAAAGCAGAATACAAAATAATTGTTCAAGTTCAGCACGTCATAAAAAAAACATTTTTAATTTTTTTTATTGTTTCACGTTCCAAAGACTTTTTTATTTTTTTTTTTTTTTTAGCCTGTACACATTTTGGTAGGAGAATCTTGTTTCGTAGTTCTGGGCCTCTGAATATGCAAGAATACAACACTTCCAACGGGTTCTTGATAGTTTTTGTTTTTCTCTCCAGCTTTTTATTTTTGCATTTATTGCTATGTTTATTTATTTATTATTTTTTACCAATGACACAGTTATTTAGGTCGAAAAGACATAGCTTTGAACTTCCGAACCACCGAGCATGTGACGAGTAGTGCCTACTGACAACGAGTTTCTAACAATGACCATCCGTGCAATATTTTATGCAGTGAAGAGCGACATTATGCATAAATAATTTCAGATTAAAATAAGCTCGACCATGCCGTCTTTACCCGTATTGTTGTCTTTAACAGTCCGAAATATCTGGGGTGGGAGAGGGAGACTGGAGCCCCCCCTGTTTTTCCTCTTCCGACGCCACTGGTATGGTAGAACGCTCCTCGACCTCAAGTTGTGTCAGCTTCTGTGCTTTTTTCTCGACGTTTCTTCTGTCCCGGAAAATAAACCTCCAAAGCAATTACAAACTAAAAGATTGTCAAGGTGCAGGCGAGCTGGTGTATGTTGATCATGATGTAAAATCCCGAGATTGGGAATGAAATTCACAAGAAAAGTGTAAGAAGGAAGAAAAAAGGGGACAGGACAACATCTCAAACTCAGCTAAGTTGAGTTTGAGACGTTGTCCTGAGCTGAGTTTTCAGCTGTGTTGAGTTTGAGACGTTGTCCTGTCCCCTTTTTTCTGTCTTCTTACACTTTTTCTTTCAAATTTCGTTAAACAGTGCGTTCGTGTGATCACTACTTCTTTATGCACCTTGGTCACACGTCACTCTGCTCTGGCAAATATTCCAGCACATCCGGGACACTCGTCGTCTCATTTAATTGCCTGACCAATATCGCGCAGTATAAATATCACACCCGAACTTTGCTAAACGTGATTTCGTGAAAACCAGTGAGGCGTGAAAACGCTCTTTGAAACTGAAACTGTGGCGGAACATGAAAACCGGACTTCGAACTTTGCGCACTTGGAGTTGAAACAAATTCAAAACCTTCAAAGATTTTTTTTTGTTTAATTTAGCCCTAAAAGAGAATCGAAACCTTCGACCTTTTTGAACTTTATGTAGAAAGAAATTCGAAAACTTCGAATTTATCGCACTTTATTCGAAACGTTCACATTTTTCTAATTTTAGATCCAAAAATAATTCGAAACATTCGCATCTATCGAATATCAAGTTAGGAAAGTTCGAAATCTTGGAATTTCTCGAACCTCAAGTAAAAAAAAATATTCGAAATAATCGAACCCCAACTTTTAGAACCTGTGAAAGCTTCGACCTTTTCGATTTCGAAACTGCACAATTTTTGAAAGTTGCGAATTTTTCGAAATTGAACCTCCGTACGGTCGAAAATATCGAAACCTTTCAAATTCGAACATCAGTTCGGGTCGAAAATATCGAAACCTTTCGATTTCGGACCAAACTAGGTGAACGAAATCACATATACAACAAAAAACATTCACATATAAAGTAATAATTTATATATAAATAAATACAAACAAAAGTGAGAGCAAAATAATAATTTAGTGTGATAAAATAAAGTGACTTTTATGGACTTTTAAGTCTGATCTTAACCCTAAAGTCTCATCGCCATCGCAATCAAAACCAAGCGTGCAAAATGGATGACAGAAAGAACTCGAATCACTCAAACCAGCACAGTGACAGCTCACATTCAATGCACAAGAAAGTAAGCTGGCGATTCTGGGCTGAAGACATAGTGTAGCAGTTATGAAGTGATCATTGGCATGTTCTTTCATTGGTCATAGCTCGGGAGCGACTGCTGAGCCGGTCGCGACATGCTGTCGTTAAAGCTACGTTTGCGGTCTGAAATTTGGTCTTGATGTGCATGTCTTGTTTCTCCTTATTTGCCAATGACAGTGTGCCTCTGCGACGATGAAAATGTTTGGGCTTGCGTTTTGAGCTTAAAAATAGGCAAGGATAATTATCCGCCCAGACCTGCTCGAGCGGGATTCTCAAACTCGTTCGAGTCTTGGGTCCGTGGGCCAACGTAGTGGGGACAAGATAACGCAGCAATAGTGTACCACGTTGCAAAGCAGCAGAGTCTCTAAGTGATACCCCAGAGATTTCTAGGAAAAAATCTCGTAAACTCTGCTTTTTTTCTTTTTTTTTTTCTTTTTTTGCAAACGATTGGTTTTTTTGTTAGTGCAATCTTTAGCTTTATTTTGTTAATGACTACTTTGTACCCATACTTGATGCGATAACAATACCTAAAATAGCATCCCAACTCTAAAGTGCTGATATTTTTCAGTAAGGCAAGGAAATAAGCACGCTGTCGGTGCCCTGCTGCTCAGTTCACTCGAAAATAAGTCGAGCTCGACATGTCTTTGCTTTCCTGATGATTCTCATTGCAGCATCATAAGATAATACTTATATTTTGATTGTATTTTGTGAAGGCTATAAACCCGAGCACATACCTTTACCTTAGCAGTTCTTCTTGCTGAGCGAGAGTTAGTGCAACTAAGACGAGTCTTCGAGGAGCTGAGAAGCAAAAATAAAAACAAACAAATATTTCAATCCAAAACAAAGCAGTGTAAAATGGGTGAACATTCCATAAGAGCAGAGCTAGGTGTCGAGAGGAAACGAGTCAACGACATGACATCATTATGGCCAGTGCTTAAAGTCTCCTGTAAGTTGAGGGGGGTCCCTACAAGAAAGGGGGGGAGGGGGGGGGGGGGGGGTGTTCTGACGAGATGTATTAGATGCACATAAAATAAACCACACTGCTGACTCTGTACATGCAACCCTCAAATTGTTAATCCCCAAATGTCACATCTCTGAAAACAAGCTATTTTATTGCAAGATATGATTATGATTTCACTAATGCTGGGGCTGTGGAGGAGGGTCCCAGACCATCCGTTAAAATCTGTGGGGGGTCTGAGACCCCTTGAGGCCCCCCAGACTTTAAGCCCTGATTATGGCGCATGTCTAGTGCATGCTCGAGGTGCGGAAAAGGGGGGTTCACAGCTGGCCAGATTCTTGCTGGTCACGGCCTGGGAGCCATATGTTTGAGACTCCTATGCTAGAGCATAAGTCCGACATTCACGTGGACTAAAATGTTTGTTTGTTTGGTGCAGATGAGTCAAGTATTTAGTCTTAAAGGCCAACCTACAAAATCATTTTCTGCAGGGTAGAAAAATCCTCCTTGCCACCCTTCCTATCTTTTCTCCCACTGGCATCTTGACCTGGGGGAACTCGTTTTATTTCTCCATCTTAGGGCTGGGTAAGCTCGGGGCTTATCCCGACTTATCTAGCCCCAAGATGCAGGAACAAGAGGAGTCGCTCTGCAGTCAAGATATTACTGGGAGGAGGGGAAATGGGAAGGTTGGCGAGGCGAATTTTCCTACCTTGCAGAAAACCTTTTTGTAGGTTGGGCTTTAACCAAAATGGGTGGTTGGTTCGTGGATTTGTATGACCTTGAGTAGTGGTACTAGGAAGAGATGCCGTTCTAAGGCAGGACACTCAGTGGCACATTCGTCCGAAATGGCACACCAAATCAGTGGAAATAAGACAAACGTGGATGGTAATGGAACACTGATATTTGCAACGCATGCAACAAGAAAACAATTATAACTGCAAAAAGAATGAAATGAAGTGAAAAGTCAGAAGTCCTAATTAAACGTTATCCTGCCAGTCCAGTCCTAAATCCACGCCATCCCCCTAATCATCTTACCCAATCATCACTCACGACTAACAGTTCATACCACATTGTTTTTTTGTGTGTTTTTTTTTTTATCATAGTGTTGTTTTTCTTGTATATATAAACATTTCATTTTTGGTCTATGCCTCCTCTCTGCTAATTTCATGCACCGTTCCACTCAAATGTGGCACCTGACTGTGTGTTCGCGCTATTACTTTCAAATCATGGCTTCAAAGTAGCTATCAACCATAGCCTATGCTCCGCGTCACTAGTTGCGTGCAGTACAGGCAAAGGCAACACCAGGTGAGAGGAGAAAGGGCAAGCACTAGAAAGGCTGGAGAGGAGGAGAGAAACCCTTTCTCCTAACGTTCCTAGCACGCTCCCTTTCTCCCCTTGCTCTCCTCTCCCGTCCCGCCTTCCTAGTGCTCGCCCTTTCTCTCTTTGCCTGGCGTTGCCTTCGCCTGCAGAGCACACAACTCGTGACTCAGAGTATAGACTATGCTCCAATCTAATATCGCGGAGTTTGCAGGGAAGTGGAGGTACATCTGCAGATGATTTGTGTGGGGGATCACTTACGTTACCTGCACCCTTTTTTGTCATCTGTCTTGTATCGTGACTTGTTTCAAGCTGTCCTAGAAAGCTAATAAATTAAGCCATCATTTTAAAATGTGCTTTGCCATCTTGTTGCAACATAAGTTGTATCTTTAGACAGCCGGAAGTTAGTCTGCCTCAACAGGCGACTTGTCTCTCAGCCACTGATGAGCAATTTAGCCAATGCAGTAGAATCACTAGCCTGGGGTTTCTAACATGCACCACACAGTAGTGATACACGACTGCACGTTGGTACGATGCTCATGCAGATGGAAGTGGGAAGGGGTGGAGATAGAGCCCAGGACCCCTGGCTTCTGCAGCATGAAATTTCGCTCCACGCACTCCAAGCTGCGGTGCATTAACACACTCGGCCACCGATTACTGGTGCACAGGTCAGGGCAGTATACCGCATGGTTTCTAACTGCCTTCTAATTGAACTTGTTGGCACATAGCTTTGTCTATCGTAGGCAGAGACAAAGTTTAAGGATCTTTACAAACAAGCATCCAGTTTGTACGAGTGGGTATTCAAAACGTGCAGTACCAGTGTTTCCCCAAAAAATGCCGTCCTTGTGCACTCTCTCCGCGTTGTGCAGTTATTTGTTGCTAGTAGATGGTTGTTTTATCTAAGGGTACACCCCTTTTTATTTTTGTCTTACGGGCCTTTGAAATAAACAAATTAATTAGTTATCCGACGAGCAGAACATAGGGAGCTGCCAGTAATGGCTGTGGAGCTTTCAGTATTTACCTTACCGGTAACATGCTCATGCCCCTTGCCTAACATTGCACACAACTTGTGAGAAGAGGTATGGATGGAACTGCCACTTTGACAAATCACGTGGCAGTACCTGATTGTGTGCTTTTGGTTGTCTGTTTGCCAGAGGAGGCGAGAGAGCGACAGCAGCAACAATGACTCTGACGACAGCTACATTCCATATGTGCCTCTCAAAGAGAGGCGCAAGCAACAGGTGAGTCGCGGCTGAAGGCCACCAGTCAGGCCTCTTCCTTTCCATTAGAAAGATTTTTAATGCAAAAGCATTAACTGTCTCATGGAGTGAGCTGACGACATCAGTTTGAAGCGCGAAAACAGCACCTAGTTTCCTTCAATTCCATCGGCTGGCGCGTGTTGGCGGGGCTCCCATTGGCTGCTGTGCTCGTCAGTTTCCACGACTGCTCACCCCATTGCGCTGCGTGTCCATCAGCTCACCATTAACACGGAGCTTCCAAGGTCACCAGGGGAGCATGCGCACTGACCGGCAACGAAAAGTACTGTGGGTGTCCTATTTCTCCTGCCCGATCAGACCGCGCTCTGCTTGGTCACCGAGAAACCAGACGACGTTCGCTGTTATGAGAAGGAGTTTTATAAATACAGTTCTCTTCATGGTCTGCCGATGGCTTCGCCTCCCCAGTTGTGGCGACCGCTGCTGTGTTGTTGGTCTGCCTCGACGATGCAAGTCCGGCTCCGCGATGATGGTCTGGGTTCGCAACTTCACAATGAAGAATCGTCTGCCCTCGAGCTCTGCCGGATTTGACTGCTGCCACCGGGGCCATCACGTTCCCCCCTGTTTTCTCTTTTTGTCCCTCCCGCCTCGCCGTGTGCCTCTCTTCTTCCTTGTCCCCTACAGTACGCAGCAGGCGAAAAAGGAAGCAGACGAGCGGCTTGTATGCTTTCACATTCACAACTCTTAAGAAGTGCTTAAGTGTACCTCGATTTTTTTAAAGCAGTCACAATTTTTCTCATTGGCAGAGATCTTGGCAGAAAATGATGTCCCAAGTCAGAGACATGTTTAACTAGTATTCCATGGGTACCTATCTAGGGCTTTGCATTTTCAGATCAGCCCCATAAAATCTTAAAAACAGTCGCCAATAAAAAATGTTGCAGATTCATATTTATCTGAAAATCTCAGAATTTCGGGCTGCCAGTTGTCAAATCCTTGGCTCGTTTTTATCTTTTTCTGAAATACTGAGGCAACTTTTGCTGTCCTATTATTTTCCACTTTTGTTTTTGTCACAAAAGAATGTGTTTGGAATCTTATTACGAGAGGGGGCTGCAACAGTAGTCAAACGCACCTTTCCAGCCACTCAACTTTGGGCCTTCCTCTTGGAAATGTATCTTTCCTAGATGTTCATTGGCCTTTCTCCAGCCTTCAATTGTAGAAGATTGAACTTATATGCTCACTCCCTTGCCCCATCTGTGTTGACCACAGGGGTTTGAGATTCATCATTCAGTCAGCTTTTCTCAATACCTGCATGGGATGGGCAAGAAGTGAAAGCTCCCTGCTAATTTATTCCAGGAATATGGAATATGCTGTAAGCAACTTAATTTTTGCAAAAACCTGATTTTCGAGAATCGCCTACATTTCAAGCAAAATAGGTCCCGCAAACAATTCCGGTAAAATGTAAACATGTTGCAATCTATCGAGATCCCATCGCGTCGCGAAAATTAGAACTCGCAAATTATTTCAAAAGTTCAGCTTTGACCTAAATCACGAAATATTGAGCCTGCAAAACATAAATCGTTCACAGTATTTCACTTGGGTGCCTTTCACATCTCTTTCCACGATTATTGCAGCCTTTATTGCCCGTAAGTTTTACTGTGTGCAAATTAGCATGACTAATAGCAAAAATTCCCTTCACATTACCGAGTACAGTGCAATCCACTTATAACGACACCATATATAACGATGTAGCGCTTATAAGTAGCAGTTTCTAGATTAGAAACAATCAGTTTCTATTCCAGATACAACGATGATCGGTCAGAACAATTGAATATTCGGGTTTTCTGATTATCATTATAAGTGGATCGCACTGCACCGGGATTTCAATCGGCATGTCCAGCCGCAGAAACTTTGTCTTGAGACAGGTGAGCGTATTTAATTAACTGCATGCCCTTGTTTCCGATAGAATATTGTGGAAGGCTCAGCTTTTATTGTGTTGTTTTTGAAAATTCTGTCCCAGCAAATTTGGTGACTGCTGTCCTCTACCTAAGCCAATGACACTAAACTGAAAAACTGAATTTTGTGGACGATGAATGAAGGCTTAAAAATGTTCTCCATATGAGGCTTTAAAAAAATAAAAAAATGTCTTTCTGAGTTTGGTCAAATAAACTCAGAAAATGCAGAACCCTACTTATTGCTGACATTCTTCGGATATAAAAAGCCAACTGTAGGCTTTCCACTGCTACGAACATAGTAGTCGTAAGTGTTTATGACGGGCAAGTTTTATTTTGTGTTCAGTCAAATATATGTTGTCAAAAACAGAATTCTTCTGCCATCCCAGCAGAGAGTAGTCTATGTATGGGAACATACACTTTAAAAGTTGATATTTTGCTCTGAAAGTTGTTTAGAAATGTCGACACAGGCAAAACTAATGGAATAGCGCTGGTAGGGTGGTTTGATCAAACCCTGAATTGGTCAAATGTTCTCATTTGTAATCTTCTTCCGAGTTTATGTGTGGTTTAAGATGATGACATTTGACATTACACATGATTCTAATGAAAGATCACGGACGACAAAGGACAGAAGGTACAACAAACACACGTTTCAATCTGTTAAGATGTGTGTGTTTGTCCCTTGTCCCCTTCCTTTGTCGTCCGTCGTCTCCGTTTAGAATCGTGTAAAGTTAACCAGCTCGCCTGTTTATTAACATTGTCTTCTAACATTTGACATGTTGTATGTGCCCCCTATTCCTCCTTTGTGTGGCGACCCCGTGTTTTAGGGGAATCTCCAAATGCAGTGCAGATAAACATTTAGAGATGTCGGTGGTGGTTCGGAAATATTGCAGATGTATCACATTTCCTATGCATGAATCAAAGCATGCTAAAATGTAGTCTGAGAACAAGTATAATTTAGTTACAAAATGCAGTTGTCATATAGCTTCTTTCTGCTGAGCTTGTAAAATATTTGCACTTAAATAAAAAAATTAAAAAAAGAGAGCCAACTTGTATAGGATAAAAGCGCTGTAAAGACGACATACAAGTTAAAGGACAGCGAACACCTTAGAGCGCTCTTTGTCCTTTAACTTGTCCGTTGTCTTTTTTTAGTGCTTTTATTCTATACAATGAATCGTCAAATAGCCCAAGTACATACCGTCTATAGCCAGCTTGCTAAGTTTTGATTTGACCAGATGTAAATGCGTTTCTACAGAGCCATTCGCACTGACGAAAGATTTCCTTTTGAACACTGACAATCTATCAAGGGGCGCGCATTTACGCAGTTAAATGTCCTACCTCTCATTTAGCATTATTAACGATCAAAAAAACATTAGTGTGTTTGACGAGGGATGAAGTGGACTTTTTGCACGGCCGCCTGGCCAGCGTGAATGGCTTTTCAGTTTTGGGGGCTTTTCCCTCCCCTGGTACTGAAGGCAGTGCTGCTAACTGCAGCTCTCACGGCTGGGGCGTCTGCACGCCATCATGCAAGAAGAGAAGCGAGACCGCTCTGGGGGAAGCACGGCGACGGATGACGAGGACGACCAGCGCGATGAGTACGGCCGCAAGTCCAACGTCAGCCTGCTCGACCAACACACGGAACTCAAGAAGAAAGCGGAAGGTGGGAACTCACTCCTGCCAGGGTAGCCTTCCCATGCCTGGCGAGAGAGCATCGCAGGAATAGTACCGCCATGTTTAGGATTGCTTGTCACTCTCTCAGTGCATATGACAGTAGATTTTGTGCAGCTGTCATTCGGTTGACTTGCTGTGCGTTCACGTGCTGCTTTGTTCCTCCCACTAAGCAGGCCTTTTTGCCATTAGCAGCAATGGAAGTACTGTGCCATTCTGCGCAGTGAATGCAAGTCAGCTGAGGTGTTGCACCAAATTTTTGCGATGAATTGTATCACACATGTGCTACACCTGTGCCAGCGAAGACGGAGGAGTAAAAGAAATTCTTCGATAGGATTGTGCGGTAGTACTAAACATAGCAGCTCATAGTGATTTAAACCAAAAAAAACAGCTGACCACTCACGTCAATCTGTGCCTGCGGACGCGCATCAGACTTGGCCGCTTTCCACCTGTGAACTAAGAGCAGTGAGAGACATGGGGAGCATTTTGGCTAGCTCGATGGTCTCAGAAATGATGCTCGCTGCTATTAAAGGCTGACCCTCTTTTATTACATTTGTAGGTCGACCTACAGTTTTTAATAACCGAACCAAGAAAAAAAAGTGACAACCTTTATTTATTAAATAAGGCAGTCGAGTTAGTTCCCAAGCACCAGTAGATTGATAGCGCACGTAACTGTGATTTGCCTCTAGCTCCAATGCTGCTTACGCTGCAGATTGTGTGTGGCCACATTATGTGTACTTGTTGTTATGCTGGGGCAGGGTTCAACAATCACCACGGTGTTTGATGGAAGAGTGTATAGCCTTGTTGTGTAGAAATGATTTTTCTCTTTACAGTCTCTTTTAAAAGAGCGCTGACACCCCAAGGGTCATATTTATTTTTATTGTCTAAAACGATGCACCTTGTAGTCATAAACACGCAAAAAAAAACGCAACGCAAAAAAAAAAAAAAGTTTTCCACGCATGCGCGCACCTTTTTATTTTTGACGCCCTCCTCTCCCGCTTTTCACCTCCTCGCTTCTTTTGATTCGTGACGTTAAGAATCACGAACTTTAGAAGCTTTGTAGGCGACATTTCTGTAACAATCGTAAAACATTCACTATGGGCCTTCTTTTTGAAATACCAAAAATCAGAGTCCGTTGTGGTGCCGCCTCCTGGATTTGTATCCTCCCACGGAAAACAGGCGACACCGGTCCGCCGGCGCTCGCTCCTTTCCTCCTTGCTTTGGGTCACGATGGCTACAGCACGGAGTGGTGAAAGAAAGTGGACTCTCAGGACTCCGCAATATTTGATGTCAACGCACGGGAACTTCGAATTCGGCATTGGGAAATGGTTTTTTTACTTCACAAATACTGAATTCCCAAGTTTAGAATTTTGAGGGTAATGTCCCGGCATCGTTTTCAATTGTTTCGGATAATAAAAAAAAAAAATATGATTTTGATGTGTCTGTGCCCCTTTAAGGGATTGTGGGACTATTTTCTTCACTTGACTGATTAGTAGATATTTAGAGTAACCTTTTCGCACTCACAAAGCGTGGAAAAGCTGTCGGATTTTGTTTACATATATTGTAGTATTGGTGTGGCTTATTTTTCTCTTTCCTCTATAACTTGTTTCCCCTCCCACAAATGGGAGGAGAAAGTCTGTGTAATGCGTCAAGTGCCACTGTGGAAACCTTCTTTCCGAAATCAAAAGATGCAGGATTATCTCACGGATACAAATAATCGGCGGAGTGGGTAGCGCCGCTGATAAAACAAGAGACTCGCTCCATGGTTCATTGAGTCGGTAGATCCTCATTAGTAGGAAAAAGGACAAACCCCCATAGCCAGTACTCTTTTGTAGTGCACATCAGTGGAGAGTCGCAGTGAAGTTAAATTTGTTGAGGGAAGTTGATCCAGTTGCTTATGACGCGCATGGCCGTCGCCTGTGGGGCCCTGTTTCAACTGCAGCCCGGAAAGAGAGTGCCCTGGAGAAGCAGCTCAAGGAAGAAGAGAAAATTCTGGAGAGTGTGGCCGAACGCAGAGGTGAGCAGGGCAGCTGGCACACTCTGGTGCCCTTTCTTCAAGAGGGTTTTCCTCATGCGCAGCTCTCATGGGAGTTGCCGAGTTGGCCAAGGGCATCCAGTACGACCAGCCGATACAGACTGGGTGAGTGGATGTGTTGACATGCCCTGGGGGGAACATAACAAGGAACCTTGAATTTTACTGGTAACTTAGGTTCCAATTACTTTATATGATTCTATCATATCCACATAGGGAATTTCTGCGTTTTCTATATGTTAGCATGCACCCCTTATTTTTTAGGGGCGAAGCTCCTTAGGGTCTAGCCTTGTCCGGCATCCGTGCTCACATCGATTGCCATCCCATCTGTCTTCTTAAAAAAAGAAAAATGTTTGCGCAGTCAACAGGATTCGAACCTGTGCGGGGAGACCCCAATGGATTTCTAGTTCATCGCCTTAACCACTCGGCCACGACTGCGGGACGAGTAGGGGGCTCTGAGATGTGTAGTAACTTCAGAGCTGGGGATGTCATGGATGAAACGTTGCATGTAGCCGCTCAACGTCTATACAGGAGAGGGCACTGCGGTCAAATGCGTATATAATCGCGTTAAACTTTGCATGCATTGGCTCAACGTTTATAGACAAGAGGGCGCTGCGGTCAAATGCTTAAATGCGTATATAACCACGATCCATACCACACATTCTCTTTCTGACATGGACCGTTGACTTAAGCAGTGGAGATGCATTCCCACGGCTTCTAGTGGATCCAAGCTGATCTGCTGAAAGAACCACTGGCTCTGCATTTCACCGACCATAAAGCAGTAATAATGAAGTTGAAACGCAATCCGGAACTCAGCACTACCTATTAGCAATAAAAAAAAATCAGCACCATCAGCACTACCTATGAACAAAATCAGTATTATCAGCACCACCAGAGCTTCACCCCAATTAACATCATTCTCTACGTGGAGATGCGGTCATTCTTTTAAAAGGTTGTTCAGTAGAAACCAATCTTGGACACTCCTTGAATACACAGTGCCATTAATTCTATCACGGCAACAAGTTGTATTGTTTATTTTGATTTAACGAAAGCTTTTAAGAAAGTCAACCACAAATTGCTTCTGTATAAAATATCTTTGTGTGGTGTAACATTGACACTTTTATATATGTTTAATAGCTATCCAACAAATTGCCAGAGTTGTGTATGTGTGTGGAATGGGTAATCTATCAGATGTTTTTGCACCTACCTCGGGTGTGCCTCAAGAGTCAAATGAACCACTTTTTTTTGTTTTTATTTGTGACTTCGAATTGTGTGTAACAAATGCACAGTGGCTTTTTTTTTTGGGGGGGGGAGGGGAGGGGAGGGGAGGGGAGGGGAGGGGAGGGGAGGGGAGGGGAGGGGAGGGGAGGGGAGGGGGGAGCGGGGCTGATATCAAGCTTCATTTAAAAGTTGGTTTGGCAAATTACTGTACATTTTTACAAGATGATGTGTTGCGCATCTCAGGCTGCTGTTCTACAAATTTCCTAGTGGTTAATCCAGATAAGACAAAAATACTGACACTGTGCAGAAAGCACGAAATTATTTCTCATCAGTATTCTTGGAAATACTGCTATTGAATGTGTACAATAGATTCCTGACCTGGGTGTTTATTTTGACATCAATCTTTCGTTTTCGTATCATGTTTTCCGGATTGTTTCATCTGCTCAGTGGGGATTATATCTCACCTGACACATCATTTTGTAAGTCCCGTATCTGTTGTTCACTCATTTTGCACCTTCGTAAGAGAGGGGCGAGTTTTGTAGTGCTGCGTGGAATTTGCTGATGGCATCTGATGCAGCACAGATTGAAGTAGTGCAAAAACAGTTTATTCACATTGTGTATGATAGATATTTTTATAGGAGATGCCTTTACAACTCTGAATGCAAGGTGTCCCCGAAAAAAATTAACAGGTTTTTTTTCACCGCAAATTTAAACTATACATCACCGAGCGCTCATTTACCGCCCATAGGTAGCGCTAGAGGTCCGAACCAGATGCCAAAGTTTCAGCACGAACCAATATTTTTTTCAAAAGTCATAAGTGATTTTCTGAAAATTTCAATGGGAAAATGGTGGCCGACAATGTTCTCGAATACATGGGGCTCTATGGGCGCCAGAAACCGAAAACGGGCAAAAATGGGCCCCATTTTCTCATCGAAAAATATGAAACTTCCCTCATGCATTGAGAAGTGGGGGTGGCATTTCAGACAATGGAAACAATCCAAACCCCATCTTCAAGGTACAGCGAACTTGGCACAAAACACCCTATCACTTAGAAGGACAAATATTTAACCCCCCAAAATACTGTTTATTGCTGAGTAGGCATAAAGTAGGACTATCCCGAATATAGTAACTGACAACTTCATAAGGAAGTGCGTCACAAGGTCACAGGATGGCAACCCCCCCCCCCTTCTTTCCCCCAAAAAAGGCCTTTAGCTATGCCATTCAATTCTAACATACTGACCTTTCCCAGTTAAAACCAAATTCTGAAAAATGAATTAGGCATATCTTTACAGGTTTTCCTCAGTCAACCAAAAACGCAGAACCCAAATTATAAATTTATGCTGTTTTCATCTGTGTCTAAAAAAAATTTTATTCAGTTCATTATGACTTCTACTCCCCCGTCTTAAGGGGTTGTGCAACAATATTCAGTTTGTGTTCTTTACTTTACACAAGCTTACTGGCACTAGTGGGACCCCAGTATGCTTGCACGCAACACCACTGACCAAGAAACTTCTTTGTTGCAGTGTAATTTCAAGGATAAAAGCGAGCATTTTCTTTCAATCTCTTTTTAGCAAAACACGTTGATGTAGCTCAGAGGTCGCAGTGTTGGCATAATCCCACGAGTGATGATATTTTAGTGGGACTCATAGATTGGGCTCGAGCATTGCATGAGCACTCCATTTGGTCTCGTGATAATCAATAGCTTGACAAGTATTTGGTTGCTGGCTCGTGTCCAATAGCTGAAATTATAACAATAGCCGAACCCTAACAATGTCTGAAACTCGGTGCATGTCCTGCGTTTTGCCAACCCAGCGCATGGCTATGATCAACATTGGCAGCAGATAATTGGCTCTAAATCACGTGGTTGCTTGTTCTGACTGTGAGTTGAGGGGGTAAACGCTTTTAATTTTACTTTCACTTTTTCTGCGACTACCTTTACGTGGGGAGAAATACTAATGCGTGTTTCATAGGTTATAAAAACGTCAGGGATTCATTCAAAGCGGTATTTGTGCAAAGTACAAAAATTGTTGCACTGCCCTTTTAAAGAAGAGCATCGTAGCCTATACTCTGTTTCACCTTATGCCTGACCGGAGCGGATGCTACAAGCCATAGAAGCCAATCCAATGCCGAGTGAGTGTCACGTGACCTTAGACACAGTGACACGCGAAAAGCACAGTCATGTTATTGTTCGTAAAGCTGGATTAGCTGGGATGGCTCGTAGCAAACGCTGCTGTCGGTCATAAAGTGAAACATAGTATAGTAACTGATGCCTTGGCAAGGTTCTCTTCGTGGAAGGCCCCCTCTGTAAGCAAGGGGTTGCAAACGCTTGGCAGGTGGAGGCCTCCGGCCTACTTGACGAGCATGCTGCCCAAGCAGCAAGAGGACATCCGCAAAAAGTTCCACATCCTGGTGGAAGGGGAAGGCATCCCGTCGCCCATCACCACCTTCAAGGTGAGCTCCCGACTTGGCCTAGAAGGCCCCCCCCCCCCGCTCCCCTCCCCTCGAACGTATGCCCATTCTGCAGGAGATGAAGTTTCCCCGGACAATCCTGGCTAGTCTGCGCCGCAAGGGCATCACGCAGCCGACACCTATCCAGATGCAAGGACTGCCTGCCGTGTAAGTTGTTTGGAAGAGCTTGGAGCAGCTGTGCATTCTGCTGTTCGTTTAAGGCTGCTCTGAGACTGAAGATGCTCTAAAGGGCTTTGCAACTTGGAGTGCACCCGACTTCTACTTGAGAAATGTGAGGAAAGATCTGAACCTCACAGGCACGGCAAAATGCTTTGAAGAAGTAATACTTCAAAATAAAATACACACCCAAACAAATTTTTTTTTAAATTATTATTTAGTACTTACTTAGAAGTTGTTGATTTTTGCTTGCCTTCAGTGATTGAGACACACTGCATTAACTTAGCTGTGCATATTGCAACCCTCTTTTAGAGTGCCTTTGGCATTTTTTTTTTTTCACCAAAGGAAAAAAATAATTTATGACGTCCATTGCCGTCTTTGCGCCAGCAGCACTCAGCGCGGAAGTGACGTTTCCTACGCCTAACCACTTGCAGAATTTTATTGTCCGAAAACAGACCACAGGCATATTTACTGACATCAATATTCAATGGACGAACCATCTTCGAGGGCTGTGTAATTCCTCTAGACCAACTTCATTTGACGTGCGCGTTGCACGGTCACACTGTTGATCTCTTCCATAACGTGGAGACGGCGTCATAAAGCATGTGCCTGTAATCATGCTTGGCTTGGCTTTTCAGCCTTAGCCACTTTACTGGCTTGGCCGCCTAGTGGCTTAGCTGCACATCACGCTTGTTTCTACTTTTCCCGACTGCACATGGAGTAGATAAAAGCGATGAAGTATGCGATTTAAGCTTGGTCAGCACCATTGCAAAGCTTTTTCATGCTTCCGGACTTACCGGACTTCTCGAGCATGTGAAAAAATCTTTAGAATTAACCAGACCCCGAGGTCAAACTTTGAATTACCATACATTTTTTTCCATGGACTCGTATGTGTGATTGCCAGGACTGCACACATACTTTGAACTAGCCAAAAATTTTCATAAAGTAACTTTAAATTAACGAGAGTTGCCTGTATTATTTCCATTTTGTAAACATCTAGATACCGTCAATAGCTGCGATGTACCCTCAGAGGCTTGGCAGTAAGTGAATCCGTATAAGAAATTAGCTATCCTTGCTTGTTTTGGTGTGGAGCGATGCAATTGGGTTTGGTTTACAATTAAATCCAGTAAAGTGACACAGTGCAGACCTTTTTTCAGTTTTTACAAGGCTGACTACCTTGTTTGCTTGATTTCATAGTGAAGGCTTTTTTTTATGAGAAAGACACACCTAACTGTTTTTGTACAGTGCTGTTGGAGAGCTCAATATTTCAGTTAAACAAACTTTGTTGGGACGCTGAGCGTGGATTTTAATATGGCCATAATCCCAGCACAGATTGCATTTTTGTGTCCAGACATATTCTAGCTAGGCCTCATCTAGAGACAATTTATATGCTTTCTTCGTGAGAACTGTAAGTCAAATTTTATTAAAATGACCTATACTCCGTTACCTTAAGCTGAGAGTGCAGTGGAAGCTATGTCCGTGTTGGACCTGTTGTATGCCTCTCTTTCGCCACGTCATCACGCTCCCGGTCATGTTCACACGCGGAGAGACGGGGATGGCTGATTGGTCTGGTGGGCACGTAGCTCCTTCCACAGTCTCAGCTTAAGGGTGAACAAAGCACAGTGGACGTAATTTTCGATTCTTTGAATAAAAAGGAGCAATGTAAAATTTTTGCAGCTTCTTGTTTTTCTTGTTGAAGTAGCTAGAGCGGTGGGTGTGCTGCATGCAGGTTGTCAGGACGAGACATGATTGGCATTGCCTTCACGGGCTCTGGCAAGACTCTTGTCTTCGTGCTGCCCCTGCTCATGTTCTGCCTGGAGCAGGAGAAGCGGCTGCCCTTTGTGCAGAACGAGGGCCCCTACGGCCTGGTGGTGTGCCCGTCGGTGAGTGACCCATTTCGATCCCCCTGGCCACCCTTGGAGAGGTGCAGTCAGACAGGGACATAGTACCTTGTTCGCTTCTCTGAGATGGCTTCTGAGAGGTGCAGGGACCTTCACTTAATGTCTTGCCTTTTTTCCGTCAAAAAGTGAAGCAATGGATGCAGTGTTGCTCATTTAGTATTTCCGTCAAACACCTTGAAGTAATGTGCTGACTTTGACTACTATACTTGTGGTCACATCAGGAAAAGATGAAGTTTTACAGATTATTCATGCGTCACACGAAGTAGTTCTTACAAGATTTGGTTGTCGGATGAAGAAGGATGATAAAATAAAGGCGAGCTAATCTAAAGTTCACCCACATAAATCTTAATTCAGCTCATAAACGAGTATATCAATAATGTTCCATAAGAAGCCAGGCTTTTTTTTACTGCGGTTCTCTAGGTGAATGCGAGTATAGTTGGTTTGTTGCAAGGTTGACAAAACAAGCAGCGGAAATGCGGTGCAAGGACCGAGTGGAACAAAAAATACAGTGGTGTGTTTGTTCGGTATTTCTACCTTGTCCTTGTGACTTTTGCGCAATTTTTTCTGCAAAATGTTTTCATTGTTTTTTTTTGTTTTGTTTTCCGTTTTTCCTGTTGCATTTTTTCTTAGGAAACAATGTAGGCAGGTACTTTGGGCCGTGGCTCCTGCCACAAGCAAATGTCTGAGTGGCAGTATCAGACGGCTGGCTGTAACAACATCTCTTGTGACTGTGTTCAGATAAAATCATGCACGCGAGTCATGACATAATTTTTTTGTTTTTGTTTATATATGTGCATGTTACCCCTCAACATGTGTAGGAAAAATAATCAAAAAAGCAAATAAAATTGAGTATTTGAAAAGAAAAAGGTTTGAGTGTGCCAAAACGGCATTTTTTTTAATTTCCAAGTTTTCGTTTTTGTCATGTTTGGTGACACCTACTACACAAAATACAAATATCAGAAATCTCACATATTTTGTACTTACAATAGGTCATGGGAACTATTGATATAAATATTTACAGCATTGTGGAGGTTACGTATCTCACATAAAAAATCCACAAACTCGGCTCCTTTGAATAGCTTTAACATTAAAATTTTTGTTGTATATTCATATTAGTACATTCTTTCGAGTGATATATAAATCATTGTTTTATCTTAAAAATTTTAATTTTTATGGCATCCCAAACTTGTCCTAAAGTACAAAGTTAAGAAACTTCAAGGGGCAATTAAAAAAAAAAAAACATCTTAGATTTTTTTTAAAATTCATAGTGATAGTTCTCCAACATACTCTTTATTTATTCTTAAGAAGCATGTTGCATCATTTTGTTTCTATCAAAGTCACAGCGCTGCAAAGTGTCTTCTACTCCGGCATTTCTGCCCAAAGCCATAGATGAGATGATCTTTTGATTCCGTCTGTATATTATGACAATATATTTTTGAGCTGTATTCAGGTATTGGACTCAAGTTAAAGTATTCTACTGATTTAAACAATACCTGCGTTGCTTTTTTCTTTGTATTTATTTAACCAATAAGCCTTTTTTGTCTTTTAAAATTACAACTTCAACAAGCTTGCCAGCAGCTCGAAGCAACAGCTGCCTGCGTGTCCTATTGCGAGAGTGCGTCCCGCAGTGGGGTTTGCTCTTCATTCTTCTTTCATGGGTCGGTGCTTCGGTAGTGCAAGCTGCAACACAGTTCGCACTCTTGATGCTTGAACCGAAAACAACACCTTGGTGCAAACCAGGAGTTAACACTTTGCCTCACTTTTAGGTGGCTTTGCTGTAGTCCATACTGATCAGGGCATAGTGTTTGTCTTTGTTGGCGTTGGTTGGTCTGTCGCTGAAGCATCAGCTCGTTTTATGGGAGCATCGCTGGCATAAAATGGCCGAAAGATTAATTGGCACTCATCATCTATTGGAGGTCTTGACGGTATGACCGGCGCTCAGTGCGGACCAGCAGTGGTTATTGCCGAGATGCTCTCTATTTCGCTTTCTGCAGTCCGAGATACAGTCACTTCCTCATTCGACCCCGTTGTACGACTTCGCCACACATGCCACTACTGAGTCCCAGCGACAGGACATACCTTCCTCCATTCTTCCTTTTCCTGGTTCCTAAACTTCAGCAGTTGACTTTAGTTCAAGTAGATAATCTTGGCTCCTTTCAGATGTTGAGCCACTTGACATTTCTTGCACATTCTGTATTACCATGCTTGCTGGTTGTCCTAGGTTCTGTAGAGTAGTCTGGTGTTTTACAAGCCCTCCTACGCCATTGCATGCATTTTTACCGTGTCCAGTAGCCGAAAACATCCATTTGGCTACAGGATTCTCAAGTGTCCTGAATTCGAACAGCTGGTGTCTCTTTTTAAAGTGGCTTGGCACTTCCGTAAGTAACTTGTGAGTGAACTGGAGCATTATCATTGAGCCAATCCCTAACTTTTCCTATTGCAAAACAGGCATGGGCCGAGTCATGGCACACATCGTCGCTGATGACGGCAAAGCTGCAAGTGGATTTTCGTGTTGTAGCCACACACATAAACACCAAAACTTGCTTCTTGTTCCAGTGGTAAACCTGGACTTCATCAGAAGGAATAACGGTCCAATTCTCCGCAAAGTCGAATGTAGTACGAAACTTCCTTTTTCTTCACATTGCTTTTCTGTGTACAGTTGAACCTCGATTTAACGAAGTCACCGGGACCCGCTAATTATTTCGTTAAATCGGGAACTTTGTAAAATCGAGGAAGGGAGACATCGCGCATAGGCTGCGCGGGGAATCCGAATTTGTTCGTTACATCAGGAAATTCGTAAAATTGGGTTTCGTTAAATCGAGGTTCAACTGTATATGGCTTTTCCTTGAATAGGCCGGACTTGATTGGGCGGAATCCATCTTCCCACCAGTGTTTTCAGTTCTTTTAGGAACGCTGCTAAGTCCAAGGTTTTTTTTTGATCAAATCGCCAGACACCCACGCCGCTACCAAAATATCTGCCTCTTCTGGGATGCCAATCCGCTCAAGCATAAAATCCCGATCCCTAGGGCGTCTTGCGCAATAGCCCAGTCGGCATTCATTGGTAGGCAGGCTGCAAATGTACATAGATTTCAATTTGGCAATGTTGACGGGGCTACCGCTGGCTTTTTCAAGTGCTGCAATGCAAAGCTTAAAATTTGCACAGTATATGCATACACAAACTTCGTGCTGCGGCACACACTTGACCCATCGGGGTCGCAGCGAATGGAACTTTGTCAGGCCTATCTTGGTGTCTGGATGTGCTTTCTTGAACACCCGAAACGTCATGCAAATCGACCTCATCATGAAACGTTTGGGCAAATACTGTTTTTTGTCATTAACCAAAACACAAATCATGTCTTTCTGATTGGGACTTTATCGCGAGCAGCCCAGTTCACCCTTGGTGTAAAACTCAAGAGACAGTGACACATCCTCTTTGCTCATCTTGCATCTCGAGAAGGGATCTGGCGTATACCACATGCCAAAGTCAACCCCGTAGTCTTCATGCCTTGTCAATAATATACCTTGTTGCCTCGGGCACAGCACTTTCTATATCTTTCCTAGTCGATGATTGAGGAAGTAGTGTGAGTAGCCGCGGCAGCATTCTTGGTGGGAAGTGCACGCAGTGCAGGCCTGGTGAAAGTTCTTTGCCCATTCACTACACGTTCTGCACTGCTGTTGCGATGACCCCGGAACGTCGGATGTGCTGTGGGCCATTCGAATTCCGGAATGAACTACCAGGATCAAGGTCTCCTCTCTCTCCTTGTTTTCTTTTTCCATACGACTTTCTACAGTGACTTGCTACTTGACTTGGTGGCTTGAGTGGTGTCAGTTTTGTAGGCAGTACATAGCGATTTAGTTGCTCAACAGTTTCAAAGTCTGGGATAAATTAATCCCTCTCTGTGTGGGAGATTTCTGGCTCACATTGTAATCCACAGCTGAAGTACTGGAAACAGTGCTGGCAGAGGTAGTCAGTTTCCTTCACTTCTCCTAAGGTCTTCTCTGACAAAATCCTCTTCAGACAATTGACATCAAGATCTGGCACACTGCGAAAATTTCTCTGCTTTGCTATCTTCTTTTTGTGCTTACTGAGATAGTCAGCACAAAATACTCTCTCGACGCTGTAAGTCACTGCTATGGCTGAAGACGTTCTGTCAAGACGCCACAATACAGGACTGGCAACCACTTCATTTGTTTATGGCCGCAGTGCGCATCTTGTCCTGTCTCACAATCACAAAACTCCGAAAGCATGATGAGAGAAAGAGAGAAAAAAAAAAGAGAATGCGTTAGTATTATCTTTTTGTGAAGAAACGCACAGAGTAAGTCTAAACATGTAACAACCAGTTCCTCAAAAAAAAAAGTGCACCAGGACAAAACAGGCGATAATTGTGTGTGTTCTGTGGTCCATACCGTCTCTGGTTCCAGTAAAGCCCCTCTTTAGGTCCACGAGGGGGGCCACCGCTGTAGGGCTTGTAGGGTTTGCTTTCTGTCTGAGTCGCTGCCTTCCTGATTTAGTGCTAATTAGGCCGGTGCCGCTAGTATTGTGCGTGCTGCTTTTAGGGCTCGCGGCATTTCGCTTGTGTCGCCAGCATTGGCTCCTGGGGAGTATACTATACTATTGACAAAAGTGTTGCTTAACACCGGTGCCACTAGACAGTCCAAGCGATAGCATGTCCCTCTGCAAACTGCGTGCACGTGGAGACAGGGTTACGACGGTTGCCCTTCAAACCTCATGACTCTTAAATTGGTGGAGATAAAAGAAAGCAACATGAACAGCAAAAAGGAGTTGGACATTACAAAACTTCTTTCCAACTGGCAGCTTTAACATTTATTGGCGTCCCTCAGCAACACCAATCGCTTCAGCAGCGGCCTGACTGAAGAGGGAAGGGAAAGGAGAGGAAAAAAAGTGGAAGCCGTTTACAACTCCCTGTAACACCGAATTAGAGCGCAGCTCTTGAGGAGGAGGAGGGAAGGGTACTGGGGGG